GCTTATGTTTTTTAACTTGGATCTTTCATGTACATATATGCAAATCTTCTAAACTGTAGCATCTGATTTGATACACAAATAGTGGCAGGCGCAAGTCAAGGAGTATGTCTAGATCACCTAATGCACGAAGGCGCTCTATTTCTTCTGACAGGGTGCACCACTCTTTGAGAAGACGGTCAATTACACCTCGTAGGAGGCATTCACCTCGGTTCTCCCCCTCTCCTAGACGAAGACCATCTTATTTAAGGCGAAGATCTAGGTCACGATCGCTTCGCAGATCACCATCTCCCTTTCGGCGTAGATTGCATTCACCTTTTCGACGCAAGTCACCCTCACCAATGCGTCGTAGATCACCATCTCCTGTTCGTCGCCGTAGATCGCCATCTCCTATTCGGCGTCGTAGGTCGCCATCACCAGTTCGGCGTCGTAGGTCGCCGTCACCAGTGCGACGCCGTAGGTCGCCATCACCTATTCGACGTCGTAGGTCACCGTCACTTATTCGACGTCGTAGATCACCTTCACCTATTCGGCGTCGTAGATCACCTTCACCTATTCGGCGCCGTAGATCACCTTCACCTATTCGGCGCCGTAGATCACCTTCACCTATTCGACGACGTAGATCTCCTTCACCCATGGGAAGTGAATCCCTTTCACCTGTGCAGCGTGGATCCCCTTCTCCTGTGCGTCGTAGGAGCCCTTCACCTGTGCATCGTACGTCACTCTCTCCTGTGCGACGGCGGTATCAAAGATCTCCTTTGACTCCGCAACATCGATCTACATCTCCCATACATCAAAGATCACCTGTTCCTGCCCGCATGAGACCACAGACTCCTTCCCGTCATAGGTCTCCTTCACCCTATGAATCAAGTTCTCCATCTCCTCCACGACGTAGGACTCTATCTCCAATCAAGAGGAAATCTCCCAATGACTATAGGAGATCACCTGTGCAATCTCCTGGAGAGAAAATTAGGTATGTACCTTCTCTAAGTAGATGTTTTAATGAAGTTTTGCTATTTGAATATCTGAAGTAGTTGTAATATGTCATGTACAGAGTCTGTGAGAGTTTTTCTCCTGCTGCACGTCGACGTTCCAGCTCTCTGAGGTCACCACCTGGAGAATCAAAGAATCGGAATGATTTACGTAAGATGTCAGCTTTTTCACCATCACCAGAGAGGTCTCCTACTGTATCAGAGTCCCCTCCACGTGCAACAAGGAAAAGGAGTGCTAGTGAAGATAGGAGGTATTTATATCAGCTTTTATATTATCTATAACATCTTTAATGTTTAATTCTTCATCATTTTGTTGACATATGTGTTTATACATTGTTGGCTGCTTTCCAAAGGTCATTAAGTCCATATGAAAGTCCTGGCAGGCAGACCTGGCATGCAAGGATTCATTATGGCAGCTTGAGTCCTCCACAAAAACCAAGAGAAAAACCTCGTCAAGGTGGTCCAGATACAAGTAAAGAAGAAAAAGATACCAATCGTACTAGGTTTGTTCTTATTTTCTGATAACTACTGAATTGATTTTCCTTGTTATCATGTGGAAATTTTAAGTTTTTCAATTTTGCTGAATTGTACTTCATTCATGCTTGTGGGGAGGACAGGGATCATAAATCCGTGTCATCACGTAGATCTATGCAAAAGGAAGATTATTCTCCAGACAGAGTAGCATCAGATCGTCATCCCCCTGAATCTAGGACCCAACCTGATAAGATAGATCTGAGGAAGAAAAACCAGGATTTAAAGAGGTAGACGTGTCTCTGCTATACAATATATTTTACTTATTTGATCGCTCACATTATTACTTATACATGAACTAAATTTAGGTATGCTATCTGATATTTTAACACATTCCTGGCAGTGAAAAATCCTCTGGGAGGGGTGATCGTCCTCAAACTTTTGATCAAGAAAGGTCACCAACCTTGCCTGGTGAGAGGCAACAGTCATCGTACCCAGGAGAAAGTAAAAAATCTGATGAGAGAAACCACTCTCGTTCAAGTAATGGCAAGGAAAGTGATCAACGGCGTAAGTCAGCAAATGCGACAATGGTCGTTGAAAAAGTGGATCATGGCAACCGGAGTGATAGTGTTGATTCTGGTTCTGAGGAAAGTTACAAACACAGAGCTGACAATAAGGAAAAGAGAAAGCATAAATATGAGAGGGAAGAAGTGGCTTCAGATGATGACTACAGTTATGATTCTGAAACTGAGAGGAAGCATGCTAAGAGGAGGAGAAAGGAAGAAAAGAAATTAAGAAAAGAGGAAAAGCGTCGACGGCGTGATGAGAGACGTCGTAGAAAGGAAGAGCGACGTGCAGAGAAGCACAAATTGAAAAATCGAAATGATGCTGATGGTTCGGATGGAGAACATATTTCTAGAAGGGAGTCTCATCCAAGTGACGATGAAGTGACAGAATCTGAACAGAAAAGGCTTGAGATTGAGTTACGAAATAAGGCTTTGGAATCCATTAAAGCAAAGAAGATCAACAGTCGCTAAATATTTTTGTCTTGGAACATCAGATGTTATTTTGTCATTTAAATCTTGGTGACCAGTATCTTAATTTTCTAGGTTAATCATGTTTTGAATGGGAGTATTCTATATTTTGTTAACTGTTTAATGTAGTCTGTGTTTGCTGCTGGCAGCTGAAATGGATAAATGAGGATTTCCTGAGCTAATCTCTTGAGTGCAACTCTATGCAGACTTTGCTGCTAAATTTTCTGGTAATAATTGTCTTCCCTTAGTCGGGAATTGATTTCATTGTTTTGTGGGATTTTATCTGTTGTTTGAATGTGAAGGGAAAGGCATCTCGTTGCCTTGATTATTAGTGCTTTATGACTTTTTCATTTGTTAGAAAAAATATTTGTGTCAATATCCTATCTGATGTTAAATCTGAGTCTGAGTAGTGCTACTAGTAGAAGTTGATGAGGTCTATAGGTTTGATTGATCTTGTTATTCTTCTTAAGAGAACAAAACTAAGCCTAAAAAGGGTCTTGTCAGTTGCATTAATATGAGACTGACTCTAAATCAGCTTTCTGGTCAATTGATAGATGAATATTTTGTCAACTAGATGACTTGGTTGAGCACATCATATGCAGACCTACATTCTGGACATCAATTCAGGTGAAGTACTCTTATCCTTCTAAGGGTTCTTTTAGAAGAAATCTCGGTGTCGATAAGTGAATCCTTTTTGTATATTTATGGTAGCTGCTTTCTCACTATTTCGGTTAACCTCTCTATGGATGGCAGTTTGAGAGTTGTTCCTGGGACTTAATTTTCTAATATTCTCCATGGTGCTATAGTTTTCGGACTCGTCCTGTCCTGATGTTGATATCAGCTGTAAGGTCTGTGCAGTATATATCGTGTCATGTTATATGCATGAATAATATAGTAAGTTGTATATGATAATCTCATAGCATATGGGAGGTGCTTGTCTTGAGTTTAGTTCTGAGCTACTGGCTGTGGTCATCTTTGATTTGTGCAAAGATTTTCATATGCACTCTTGTTAGCAGGAAAAGTTCCTGATGGATTCTTTTGACCTTTTCTTGTTAATGTTTGTATATATTGTGAATTTGCTTTTTATTTGTATACTTTGCAGTTGCAGAGAATTATCATTTGTATAAGTGATTAAACGATTATTTTTTCCTGTTGGGATGTGAATCATGTCATGTTAATGTTAGGTTACTTTGAAATGGGAGGACAATGAACAGATCGTTACAGCGTTGAAAATTTATGTGTACTTGGGAGGGTATTTTAGCAGAGGATATTTTAATGGGGCAATTAATTGATATTTTTTTTTTCAAAGTTTCTTTGTTAATATTTGGGATGCATTGTGTTTGTTGACAAATATAAGTGGAATTGGTAATTTAGTGGAATTAGAATAATAGTAGCAGGAGCTGGTAATATGTGTACTTTAGCTCCTTTACAAGGACGATCGCTTGAATTGATGGTTGCTATTGGTCCATAATATTTGAGTTGTTTTCTTTTTAAGTTTTAGTTTGAAAATATTTTTGGGGATTTATACGGCATTATGTGTGTCCGATTATAGATTATTGGGCGTTTTGATTCTTAAGTTAACAAAGGTATAATTAGTTAGTGAGAAGTTCTTACCTTTTTAGAGTAATTTAATACAAAGTTTATAATTTTTTATTAATAATTAAAAAAAGAAAGGTACTCCGACCTGGAGGGTAGAACCAATATATGGTACTCCATACTAGTTAAATTAAGGTCCTCACCATTTTGTCAGTACTGAAGAATTTTTAGTTTTTGGGAGAAGTTCTTGAAGCTGAGTGGAGTGCCTATTGCTATTTGAAGCAGAATATATGCGATGGGATGTGAGTTATTGTAGTGTTTCAATAAGTAATAATTAATATTTTGGTTGAGACGTTTGTGGGAGTTCTTTTTAAATGCATTTGGGTATTAAAAGTTGTGGCTTAGCTGTTGTTTGTTGTGGGTTAAGTGGGTCTTCGATGCATTTCTCCGGCGCTTTGTCCCATAATATTTACATTCGGATTTCAATGGTAAGGTTTACTCTGATCATATTTGTGCTTTTTACTCTTAGAAATTGGATGCGAAACTCAGTCCTATATATCGGACAATTCGATGCTTGATGAATAAGTCAGTACCTACTGATACGCATGTATTGGAAGTTATGATGATGAAATTTCTTTTGAGAACATAAATCGTATGTAATTTTCAGAAATTAGAATCAGTATATGAAATTGCATAAATGACCTAGATTATGTTTATAAGCACACCCTTTTAAGAGTAATCTGTAATCCAGCCCACTAACTTGTGTTGTAAACTTGTATTGACTATATTTGACCTTAATGGATTTTGTGGGCCAAAGCATATCAAACATGTGGTAACCAATTGGATAAACCAAGCTGGTACGAACTAAGATCAGATCTTTTCTCTTTTGTATCTGTATTGCACAATTGAAGTCAATATCTTTTGTTTCATCAAACTTCCATCTAATGTATGCGTCATAAAACGTCTGGTGTACAATTTTCTTCAGTAGATAAACTATGACTACGTGGCTTAATACCATTTGCTAGGATTCCCTTACCTCCACATCCAGATAATATTTGTATCAAACAAAACTCGAACTGTCAGATGAATGAACACCAAGAGACTATTGTGTCTATACACAAAAACAATCCTCTTCTCCATTGAAGGAGAGTCTATCTCTTACTCTATTCATGGCTCCAACACTTACATCCAATTCATTTCTTCTCACCACAACACCCCATTCAAGGTTGATTCTCAAGAACCCAACACTCAGAGTTTTTGCCAAAAGAGGTGGACCTCTCTCATCATTTCAACTTGGCAAACCAAAGGGTGAAAACTCTGAAGAAAATGAAACTGGTGTTTCCGTGAATTCAAGTCCTTTTAATTTCAACTTTGGGAAGGTACCAGATGTCAAGTCTTTGATCCCAGTTGTGAGCAGCCCTGGAAGTGGGTTATTGTTTGGTAACTCTAGAAGAAAAGACCCTGGCACTGTGTTTGTGGCTGGTGCAACTGGACTGGCTGGCATTCGCATTGCCCAAACTTTGTTACGTGAAGGTTTTAGTGTTAGGGCTGGTGTGCCTGACCTTGGTGCTGCTCAGGACTTGGCTCGTCTTGCTGCAAAGTACAAGGTTAGCTTCTTAAACTGCCTAAATTGTGGGTTATCATGTTTGTTGGATGAAGAATTTTAGTAAATTGTAATAAGAAATGATAGATAGAGGATAGAACATACAATTCTAGAGATTCCATATGCTGCATTCTAATAGAACCAGTCCAATAAATAGTTTGACATGTTAAATTGTGGAAATTGCCCAACTAGGTTGCTAAGCCAATTATGAGTTGATCAAGGTCTTTTTTTTCCCTCTTATGGAAGGGGGAGGGAGTGGTCTAAACTTTGCGTATTCTGGACCTTTTGTTTCAGGTAGATCTTAAAGCAAACTTGTAGCTAAAGACATAGAGGAATAACCGACTCCATTTTCAATAGGGTTAAGATGGGGTTAAACTTAAAACACTTAATATGTTCAATGATTTCACCTTCACGTAGACAATTTATCTCATATCCATCTTTTACTTGGTAGCCACTGATTTGCCATTTGGCCGTGTAACATTATTGTCCATTTTACGGGAATGGTATGACCTCAATTTTCTGATCCTGCAAATAAAATAGAAGTGTGGTGTGGATAAATGTTCATGAAGGCTTTAAAGGGGAGTGATGGTCACTTGATTAGATCAGGGAAAGCTTTACACTGATTTTTCCTGCTTCCACTGCATAATCACCACAGATCATATCAAATGAAGAATCAAAACGCCTCAATGCTGTTGAATCTGCCTTCCAAGATGCAGAATCAATTGCCAAAGCAATTGGAAACGCTAGCAAAGTTGTGGTGACGATTGGTCCTGCTGAAAACGGTGCCACCACTGAGGTCTCTGCATCAGATGCCTTACAAGTAATCGAAGCTGCTCAGTTGGCCGGAGTTGGCCATGTGGCAATCATCTATGATTCAACAACAGGGACATCAACTTACAATGTTCTGGATGGCATTTCTTCATTCTTGAACAATCTCTTCTCACGAAATCAGCCATTGACCATACCTGAGTTTTTGCAAAAATTAATTGAAACGGATGTTAGCTATACATTCATCAAGACTAGTTTGACTGAAGACTTTTCACCTGAGAGTTCATATAATGTTGTTGTATCAGCTGAAGGAAGCACTGCTGCAAACGACTACAAAGTAATGTAATGTATGCGGTTATATCTGTTGTTTTTTTTTTCTTTTTTCTTTTTTCTTTTTTTTTAAAAATCATTGGGGAGTAAATTTTCTTTTCCTCTTTATGTCTATTTTGTCTTATGTTCTTGAAAATTATGATCAGGTAGCAAAGGCCCAGATAGCATCAGTGGTGGCAAATGTTTTCTCTAACACAGCAGTGACAGAAAATAAGGTACATTGATTTATTTTTATGAAGCTTGGGAAACATGAAACCAGGGCTTATTTATAAATGGCTGAACGTTTAATATTTTTCTTATTTAGGTGGTCAAAATTTTTACAGATCCATCAGCCCCGGCAAGGTCTGTAGATGAACTTTTCAGGTTAGTTGCTGTGCTATTGTTTGCCTACAAATGTATGCCAAACCTTTACTTTTTTGTAGTTTGTAAAGGAACAGGTACATGACCCAATGCAATATTACTTTTTAGTGCCATTCCTGAGGATGGAAGAAGAGCAGCATATGCAGAAGCTTTAGCGAAAGCAAGAGCTGAGGAGGAGGCACAAGCAGCTGCAGAGAAAGCTCGTGAAGCAGCTGAGGCAGCAAAGAAGCTTGAAGAAGAGGTGAAAAAACTTTCTGAGCAAGAGGCTCGAGCATCTAGTTTAGCTGAAGATGCCCAAGAGAAGGCAGAGGCTGCAGGGGCCTCAGTGGATAGCCTCTTCAGTAAAGCAAAAGATATTGGCTCAGGATTTTCTTGGGATAAATTTAGTTCCCAGATCACAACTGCCGTTCAAAAGTCCAGTCAGATACCACAAGTGCAGATTGCTACTGTAAGGGGACAGGCGAAAGCCAGGACGCTGCCGCCCAAGAAAGCTGTTGTCAAACAATTTAAACCAAAGCCTCCTGTTTTGAAGCCGAAGCAGGAACCAAAGCCTCAAGGGAAGCAGACTGAGTCTAAGCCCGAAGTGAGGAAGGTGTTCGGCGGGTTGTTTAAGCAGGAAACAATATACGTTGACGATGACTGAGGCAATCCATTGCAATATATATTTGGTCACTGAATTTAATTTTTTGCAAATACTGTTTAATATTTTTAATACCGTTGCCCATGAATGGTTTTATGAGTGTAATAAGCACGAAACCTGGACTGGCTTAAGGCCAGGACTCCTTTTTCTAAGTGAACGATATAATTCTAAGCTTAATATGGTTTTCTTTCATTTACAAGCAGGCATGAATCTAGATGTATTATCAGTTGAATGCACTGAGAAGAGCAGCACAAATGGCCGGTACTATTCAATAAATAAAGTAAATCAAGGCGTATAATTTTTGTGTGATAGTCAACTTGAAAGGGGTAGAGATAATAAGGACAAGAAGAAAATGACAAGTTGACAACCAGGATACTAACGGGAATAACGATATGATTGAATATGATAAACAATACATTTTACAGTCACAAATGCTGGCATTTGACAACAGAATTAGGTGAGAAAAATTGTGCGATGAAAGCTAAAGAAACCAACAAATGTTGATATTTTGTATAAAATATTTAAGACCTCAACATCAAGTCAAGTGGAGCACTGCCACTAGCCTTAAAGTCTATGAAGACGCCTTAATTTGAATGTTTACTTGATGGAAGAAAAAGAAACTAAGACCAGCCACTATTCAACCCAAACCAAATATTTTACTAATTGAATACTGCCATTTTACTAATTGAATACTGCATTAACTTCTCAATGGGTTGGTTAAATTGCTTCTCTCCCTGCTCTCTTTCACAGTTTCACTTTCTGAAAACAGTATCATATCTTCATACTCCTAATTTGCTGGATTCTTGGACAGTGTGAAACACTAATAATTAAGGTAATCTAATACCAGTATACGAGTAATATCATACTTACATATTTTACATATGAGTTTAGTGTACATTAATTGATATAGCAGTAGCAGACAATGATTAATGAGAATAACTGATATATATTTTCTGCTTCATGACTCCATCATTGGTTACACATTAACAACTCATTTCGAAGAGCCTCTTGTAAGCATTCAGGCAGCTAATTAAGCAATACAATTTCTCGTCTCCATTTCAAGAAAATATTAATCACATAAGTCATCTTTACAGATTAGGCAAGCTATAAGCAGTACTTGTCCACAATTTTCTCAACCCATATATAATCTAAATTTTCTAACAAAGTTGGCATCTCAAACTTGCCTCCTCTCTTGCATATGTTTATATATGCGGCATGAGCTGATCGAAACTAGCTACATCATCTCCTAAGTATATAGTTAAAAGCTTCAGCCATCACATTGATTAATCCCTCTTGTTCTGCATAACTATGGAAGTATGTTTTCCTGCCATTGTGAAATGATCATCCTAGCGAGTTTCCAAGTACTTGCAAATTCGAGTATATATATATATATATAGCATTCATGTCTATGTTCCCCGTACGTAGGGTTATAATATATATAAATGTTTGAATTTTCTGAATATGTGTTACTATTTCTTCCCACCCATCTTTATATATTGTCACCGATAAACATACAAAGATAATTTTATCGTTTTTGATACGAAGAATTTGACTAAATTTTTGTTTAAAGAGCTTCGCATTTAAAAAAAAAAAAACACAATAAAATCGACTACATATAGCCATATACAAGTAAGCTGCATATTTGATATTTGAAACACACATAACGGTATAATATTCAATGACATTTTCATGTATAGATATTTATATACCAAAAAAGAAAAAAGAATTGAGTTCTTAATATATACACGCACACTATATTTAAGAAAGAGGAATTCTATTTATATTGAACTATTTTATTATTCTTTTTGAATTAAAGAAAATGCAGCCTGATAAGATGTACAATTTCACCTAAGCAATCCAAAAATTACAGTACTATCTTTGAGTTTAGATATTCATGATATACAACCCCAAATGAGTTTCCCCTTCTTTAAGATAAGTTCAATTAGTGAGAACTTAATCCCCATAAGATACTTCTAGATATTACATATTATGTCAAGACCTCTCTAGTGAGAATAAGGGAAAAGGCTTGTCACTCTGCAAGGATGAATTTAATTCGATTGGCAAATATTTATCTACAAAGCAAAGTATTTATGTAATTACCATTACAAACTGCTTGTTCAATGCTAATTATAAATGCTTAGGAAACCAAGTTGTGATGATAATTCAAATGATAAAACCTTTTAATCTATGACACTTATACTTTTGGAGGCATCAATCCTTTAGTCATCGAAACTAGACCTCGAGAACAAAATTATCTAAAAATAATATGCCAAAAAAAAAAAAAAAAAAAAAGGGTTTTATGTGCTAAATATGAATAATAGTCTGAGCTACGTTGTGTATGAATAATGTACATATTTGAACTTGTGATAATGAAACTAGAGTGCATGCAAATGATTTCTTGAAATGAAGACAGTGATATACAACTTTGCCTGAGTTCCAGGTAAAACTCAAAGGAATATCAAGGTGCAGCTACTTGAAGAAGAAGATTGAAGCTCTAAAAATGTATTATATAGATAGCTTAGACTTCATTTAAACTTGCTAGATTTTGAAATGTTATCTAGGGTTACGATATTAGATGTTTTTTCGGAAGCACCAGTGTATATAACATGTAAACCCTAATAAATAGGAGTCCATTTGTTGCTTTCTAGAGGTTCATGTGGATGATATACGTTAGCTAAGAGACCTGATTAATTACAGTCGTGCCTCACTAGAGCTAAGAATTTTGTCCTGACATATTGAATTTGAAGAATGGTTTCTTCCATTGATTAAGTACATGGGAGTCGGCATAAAAATCTTGACCAAATCTTTGAGTTCCTCTATTATCCCAACAATCCACTCAACAAAGGAACACAAAATACAACAAAAAACTAACCATAAAAATCAATCAATAAAATTGCAAATTAATTCAGATAGGAGCACTTACTTAAGAAATTAAGTTGCAAAAAACAATATAATTAACTTAATAAGTTGGCTGATAAAATGAAAATATAGCATAATCATCCAACAGTTAAAAAAATTAATGAAGAACAAGAGAGATCATGGTGCGTATCATATTAAAATTCAGAAGAATTTTTTGGTGGCCGCTGCTGATGCAGAGTCCTGAGGCTCAGGTCCCAGTCTGAGTTCAAGGTCCAATTCCGACCCCGATGAGCTCGATGATGACAAAACAATTTCAGTGTTCTCATGAACTTGACTACTAATCAGTGGTCTTTCAGAAAACAAAGGTAGTTGTCGGACTTCTCTAACATGTGTTTTGTCAGTGTTAGACGTGGCATCATTTTCTTCACCAAGAATCCAAGGCCGTTTCGAACTGCTTCTGTCTTGAGTGGTAGTAGCCACAACATCCTTTGATGGTGGCTGTGTAAAATAATACGGGGGTTGATTAATCTTGGAGATGTCCAATTGATTCTTTGAGGAAGAAGTTTGCTTGAGCTTAGCTTTGTCTTTTCGGTGAATATTCATGTGGCCGCCGAGTGCTTGTGCGTTAGAGAAACCTCTCTTGCAAAAGGTGCAGTCATAAGACCTAACTGGACTTGCACCATCAGCAGCTTGTTCATCTGAAGTCACCTTCTCTGGATTTTCTGGTGTCGGCTGATCATGAGAGTCCATTAGCGGGAGAAAAAGAGAGAGAGAGAGAGAGAGAGAGAGATGGTCAACTGGAAGGTAGTGGAAATTTTATATTGAAAGGGTTAAGGCCTGCTGCTGCTTCTTCAGAAATGAACTGGAACTTCTAAGATAATTAGACAAATTCAACTAAGCCAAAAGACAAAAAGTTGCCTTACAGATTAAGGTCATGGCTTTTTAATAATATTTATTTGTAACGCTTTTAGTCTTTTACGATCCATTTGATCTAGTGTTTGAAATCATTGACTGCTAGTGCCATCAAATGGTTTGTAATTAATTAGGGTAGTAATAATATTAAAGGTTTACCGGACCTGAAAATTATTCTTGTATAAAAAAGAGTAGAATAATACTATCTTGTTGGTATTTGTTAATGTGTTTTTGGACTCAAAATCTGAGGGCTCAAATAGTATAAAGAAGAAAGGCCAGGGCGCTATTGGAGAGCATATAGGATAAAGATAACAAGCAAGGTCGTATTCTACTTCTACCAAAGTTTCCATCTACAAAGATCAATATACAGCAACATCATTGATCTTTTTAATTACAGTTTGTTGCCCAGGACTAAGGGGCGATGTTACCAATATGATCATCTTTTATGCTGCATCAAGTTTTTCTATATCGTCACACATGCCTTGAGCAAACATCGAGCTGTGTATATCACAGCCAACCCAAGTCCCATTTTCCCTTATGCTATTTTCAGCCGAATGAACTGCATTCTATATATGTAAATACGTATTGGCTGAGGCTATACATACACCAAAATTAATTTCTTAAGTTTACTTCACTCATTTATATATTAGTATAGTATTTTTTGTATTAAAATTATTAGGTATGATACAGTAAAAATCAAAGTTTTAATTATGAATGGACATAAAAATTATATATAACAACATATTTTTTAGATTGAGCGTAATTAAAGGACTTCCCAACGTAATTAATGGAGAATAAAAAAGGTTAAATTAATTAAATAGACTTATTGGTTGGTGGTGCCACCATGAAAATCGAAGATGCCAACCGCCAGCCATGACTGTAGAATTCCGCCATGTGGATGTTTCAGAGACATAGTGAAGATGTCATGAACTCATCAGCATGAGTCTGATATTAATTAATTCTAAAAAGACAGCATGTACACTACGTACATATATACATTCAACAGTGCCATATGATTCAATCTTATATCCCACGGACTTTGTCGTTTCTTCATCTTCTTTTCTTTTGATCAATCCTTTAAAGATCTAGCTACACCATATTACAGTACAATCCAACTGGAGATCATATTCATATTTATTCTGCTATCACTCTTCATTGCCAGACGGTTCAAAGAGAAGTTCTTTGTTTGAAACTTTCGTCTTTGGAAATATCAGACTTTTCTCATATCTGCTGGTTTATTATACTTCCACTGAGATTCAAATCCAATTAGAGTTTGAATGTACGTATTATTGAGTTAGTAAAATTGATTAAAGCTATATGGACAGCTTACTTTAATTTCAACCTCTTCTGGAATATTGCAATTGACATCAACATTATAATAAGATGACCCTTAACTTAAATTTAAACCAACGCATTGTTTGAAATTTGAGGAGACGAAAACTATCTCTTTCAGTCTACAGCATCAATACACGTACTATTGATCGTTTGGTACAATATTTATCTAATTAATTAAATAACTATACTCATATTCCGTAAAACTATACAATATATCTCTCTTTTTCATCAATTTGTCACAATATACATCTATGTTTTGAGTACTGTAGCTAGTAATTTGTTTTACCTGGTTAATTTTATTAATAATGCTTTTTTTAAGGGTTTAATAAGGCCAAAATAAGAGTATCGAAGCTTTGATAGAATTGATTATATATAGCATGCTCCCACTTTCGGATAGCTCAAGTGGAAGGAAGAATACTAGAATGTATGGTTAATGCACACAGTGATGTGAGATGTCCTGCTAGTCACCTTTAGGTTCAAGGTGTGATTACAGGGATTAATCGAGGTATGTATCCTTGACTCCTAAGACTTAAGTAGGTGATCATGAAATGGACAAAGATTAATCGGATTAATCGAAAATACGTGTATATATGGTGCAATCATATCATAGTGGGAAGTGTAATATTTCAAACTTTTTTTTTTTCTTTAACCTTAATTAGCCAACAAATTAAGTTTAAAAAAATCGCGACATCATTTGTTACAAAGACAACACAGAATGGTCGCCTTATATCGTGCACTAATTTCAGCAATGAAGTCTCGTGTAATACGACATGGTTATTAAAGCACAACTTGGGAGTCTCTCTCTCAAAAGCTTTTCATAAGAGATTATTCTTGTTTTGGACTATAGAGCTTGTCATTTTATGATGCAATTAATATAAAACGAATTACATAAACAGAAGAAGAAGAAGAAAAAGAAACAAAAGGACAACTAGACACTGCCTCACTGATGATGCAATATTATTCTCTTAGACATAAAAAAAAAATAGGGTTATGTGAATAATTGAATAGAAAGGATACAACAAAGTTGTTGAACCATTTTTGAAGTTTTCTTTGAGGCAAGAAAGGTTAGTCAGAACATAAGCGTATGGATTCATGTGGAGTGGCTCTCTTTACTATTTCTTAGTCATCATCTTTTAATAATACAAAGACAAACTAAGGGAACCCCTATTGGATTATATGTTAGTTCCATCTCCTTGGCTTTTTTATAGATGAAGTTGCGATAGTTTTTGTAGATACAAAAAATCTACCATCATGAAAATAGAGTTTGGTCCCGTGAGGTTGAGGCCATTGACAATTTGCTAGACCTGCACACATGAAATGACAAGCATGAAGCTTACAGAAAACACCGGGGTGGTGTTTGCCGTAGGCACTCTGACGCTTAAGTCAGCAAGGCTGAAAGAGATTATTTGATAAGAATTAAGGAGATGAAGAATTACCAGGAGTCTTGTTGAAGGCTAGGACTATGATGGAGGCGTCGGGTTCTTGAGAGCAAGAACCTCAAGAGCAAATAGATGGTTTTGAGTAGTGTGGATTGACTATGGGAGATCCCTCCCCTAATGAGAGGGCAAACCTCTGTTTTTATAGTGAACCCAAGGGGTTGGAATCCTGCTAGGACACCAAGTCCTATTTTGGGAGATAATCTCTATCAAGAAAGAAATATGATTTCTTGACTTTATCAGGTTAAGTTTAATAGTTTGAGTAAAATTTAGAATCTTAGTAGAAGATGAAATAGAATGAGATTCTGATTTCCTATTTATGGACTGTTGCAGGCCAATGGGCTGAAACCCAATTTAACTTAACTGATAGAATAGTCCAACTCATAAAATGAGTAATTCACAAGATGATTTTAAGCGTAGGCCCAATCAGGATTGGGCTGAGGCCTTGGGCCGTAACATGTTTATTTTATTATTGGACCTCGTCAGGCTGAAGATGATTTTTGACCCTAACAGTTTTCTAATCGGAAAAATTAAATAGAGTCTCTATATGCCCTATGTTTCATGCAGTAGCTATGTCAAATAGATCATAGCATTTAATTTAATTTAATTTGGAAGGTGTGTCATGTTATCTCAAATAGACTGTGTATTCAAATTTTTTTTCTCCAACGTTCGGAAAGGTCTCAAATATAAAGAGAAATCATGAAACACTCTCTGTGTAAATTTCAGTTATCATCAGGTATATCAATTACACAAATATAGAAACCTAAAATATTAAATGTACTTCTTCAGCCTGCATTTGGAACTTCATAGTCTATGCAAGGAAAGTCATAGAGGGACTCAGCATTTCCATTATTACTTCCATCATATTTCCGATAAAAATCCTTCGAACTAAATCCACAGTCACTAATATAGTAGTACAGATTCTGAATGAGATGGGATCGAACACATGAAGTTCAACATGTGGAATTAAGTTTGAGAGGCCTATAGTACTTTAGATTCTTAGAACACAAACTGAATATATAAGGACAAACAGACAGCAAGAGAAAGTGATTGTGGATTAATTTGGGTGATCACGACCAAGCCTGAGCTCAAGATCTAATTCTTCTGTGGCTGTGTTGAGAAAGAAAGGCATTAATGGTACTCCATCGGTTCTCCTTCTCTTGTAACAAGCCGTCTCTCTGTTTCCCAACCCAACACTCAAATTTAAGCTAACGACGTCACTTTGCTTCTTTGTATAATCTTCTTCAATCTTCCACTCTAGGATGTTTAAAGATCTAGAGGAAGCTGCAGAATCAGATGAGGATGAATGGGAATGGTAAAAAGGCCTCTTTTGATGATCTTGGATGGCGGAAAGCACCATAGACTGAATATCATACGCACTCCCGGTAACAGATGAGAGTGATGCAAGAAGTTCCCTAGAATTAGTGTTATAATTAACACCATTATATTCTTGATGATAAAGGTTGTTTCTCTCGGATATAGGGGATTGCTTAAGTTTAGCTCTTTCCCTTCTGTGGACATTCATGTGCCCGCCAAGGGCTTGAGCTGACTTGAATTCTCTTCCACAGAAACTGCAACTATAACTTCTTGGAGGCCATATGAAGGCACCGAAAGGCCCTGCCGCATCTTCTGCAAAGGCTTCTTCTTCCCATGAACTAGCACCCGGTAGAACAAAACTAGACTCTAAACTGCTTTTGCTGCTTGCCCACATCCAAAATCGTGCTTGATCCATTTTTTATACTCACTACTTCGTCAATATCGCTATTGTAAGAATCAGATAGAATACTGGAGGTGATAATTAAAATAATTATATAAGATTTTGACGAAGATCGATCTATTGCCGTAGAACAAAAACTTCACATTTGTTTTGAGAGGTGGTGAATGAGATTGAGTTTCAGTGCGAGCTTTTAAGCTTGAATTTAACACACTGTTACTTACAATGATTGAGGTGAGTATTGTTTAAGAAAATTCCCATTCCGTGACATTTCAGTTTTAGCAAGTGCTGCGAAACCTTACTTGATAAAGAATGACATTATTTCAAAGGGTATTTAATTTATTAATGCGGATATTAATTCCTTTCCTCTAGAAAGAGTCATTGAGTCAACATTCACTGTCTTAAAATATACCATTAATTAACGTGGGACCTTTGTTGGAGAATGTTTGAATTATCAGTTGCTTTCTAGATTAACTGAAATAATGTTCAAGGAATTATATTACAAAGTATGTATCTCATTAATTCATTCCAATCCAGTTTGAATTCGTTGAGCTTCTTTTATATTTACAAATGACATAAAATAATACTTTTGACTGGGTAAAATTTGACGGAGCTTGAAAGGTTTCTTTTATATATATATATATAATAAGTTTTACAAAAATTTATGTATAGACTTTTGTGGTACAAAATAAATAAAAAAGTGAATAAAAATGTGAATACGATGAGTTTTATATTCTCAATTTTACTTATTTTGTCATATCAGTTTGTATATAAATTTTTATAAAATTTATTTGTACATCTAGTATCATTTACGTAAATAAGTCTCCTTTTAGCTTCAAGATGGATGTTAATCTTCAACAGGAATGTGTGATCAAGTAATGGGGAACAGAAAGTTTTGGTTGTACTTTAGCATTTGTCTGATATATAGAATGTCGTTTTAGTAGAAGATGGAGTGAAACAACCAAAACCCAGAAGTTACTTTCAAAGTCATCTATGTTGAATATTTCATAATCAAACAAGGACCCACCCGACCCGTACGTGTTGAACAGACCATTCTTTATTTGTCTTGTCTTCCACCGTAACACAGACGTTTTTTCTGATCATTTAGTAACAGTTGAGATCAAATTTAATCAAATATTATATCTGACATTTACTAATTGTACAAGCTGCTAGAGCAAAGGGGAGGCTTTGAATTCCTAGAAAGCGTTTGCATTGCTGACTTGCTGTCTAGTGCAGCACGTTGACGCCTCCCGCACCAATGGCTGAAAAAATCATTTTACCTCCTTCAACACTCTCTACTATTCCCATAACGTCTTCCTTTATCTCCAAAGCCCAAGGCTTTCCCCATTTCACCCTTTCTTTCAAGCTCCAAACTACCTTTAAATTCCCTCGTTATCATAGCAAACCCCTCTCGGTCTCAAATATATCCATGTCACTCAACCCAAGCCCCAGTGACAGCGCCTCAACCCACCGACACCGATGGTCTCTTCAGGGCAAGACCGCTTTAGTCACCGGTGGCACTCGTGGCATAGGGTATACAACCATACTTTAAAAAAATTCCACCTACATTTGTACTCATTTTGTTTCTTCTTTCGTTTTGTGGAGTTTAATATGAATGTGAAACTGGGTATGTTTTGTAAAGGCGAGCGATTGTGGAGGAGTTAGTGGGTTTTGGAGCGAGAGTGCACACGTGTTCGAGGAATGAGAGTGAGCTTAACAAATGCTTGAGAGACTGGAATGGTTTAGGTTTTCAGGTTACTGGGTCAGTGTGTGATGTGTCTGTTCGAGATCAGAGAGAAAGTTTGATGGAGTCCGCGTCTTCTTTGTTTGATGGCAAGCTCAACATCCTTGTAAGGTCCTATATTTATTTACTCTTTTACACTTTGATTATATTATTTATGTTTGTGTATGTTGTGTTTGTTTATTTGCCCATGAGAGTCATGCAATTGTTGTAGATGTGGTTATAGTTCTAGTACATTGTCTCAGCTGGCCTATAGTGATTGTTTATTGATGCATTTTACAAAACTACAAAATCATGGGATCATCAAGTTTCTATCGTGGTTAATTTTGTTACTTGTTCTATCATTGACAAGCATCCCATACATCTCTTACAGAGTTCACGGGCCTCGTACAGAGTAAAACTAAATGCATTTTGAACTTATGGGGCATATCCATGGACTATAATGTAATCATAGCTTCAAATATTTTTTCTATAACCTGTCCATATGTCCTTTCGGAACCCCAATTTAGTTATTTCGTACTACCATTTATGTATAAAATTCTATTAATAAGAGTGCTACTTGTAAGTTTTGTGCTTTCTATTGTTTATCTTTTTAAGTGCCAAAATTAAAATGAATCCTCCCATCTCTTAACCACTATTTTTTTGTGCAACATGAAGTTCAAGGCTTTAATGTTTTCGTAGATTAATAATGTTGGAACAAATATCCGGAAACCAATGGTAGAGTTCACAGCAGAGGAATTTTCCACTCTCATGGCCACAAATTTTGAATCTGTTTTTAACTTATCACAACTAGCTTATCCCCTGCTGAAAGCATCTGGAGCAGGAAGCGTTGTATTTACATCTTCTGTGTCTGGTTTTGTCTCACTCAAAAACATGTCTGTTCAGGGATCAACTAAAGGTAATTTACCCTTCTGATGTGAATTTCACCGCATCATTTATGGGTCCATGTGGTACAGTTGAAGAGTTTTATGAAACTTCATTTTAATTTTGTTTACTTTCGGTTGGTTTTCAGGAGCTATCAATCAGCTTACACGAAATTTGGCTTGTGAGTGGGCAAAAGACAACATAAGATGTAACGCTGTGGCACCTTGGTACATCAAAACCTCAATGGTGGAGCAAGTAATTCCCTATTCACCTTAGCTTACGTTGTTTTTTGTTAGATTGAACTTATTCATAATGCCATTTGACCTCCATGTTCCAGGTGCTTAGCAAAAAAGAATATTTGGAAGAGGTATATTCTGTAACTCCTGCTCGGCGCCTTGGAGACCCAACAGAAGTTTCATCATTGGTAGCATTTCTTTGCTTACCTGCATCATCTTACATCACTGGGCAGATTATCTGCGTTGATGGGGGAATGTCTGTGAATGGTTTCTACCCAATTCATGATTAGAATGTTTTTTTCCTGTTATTTCTTGCCTCTGTATTCACCTTGGATGGCAGTTGATTTCTCATAACTTCACAGATGTCGTTTTCAAGCCTGAGAATTTCTAGGCTTCAACTGTGGTCAATTTGCCCTTTAAAATTAGGCCTTGCACTTTCCAGTGGAGCAATGCTTCTTTTCCTTTTCTCTTTTCCGTACTTCTTTCTCCCCTTCACCCCGACTTTTGTTGTCCCATGCATTTTTCTTATTGTAATATCTTCTACTGTAGTCATGCCTGGCAGTGCTAAGCCCAGTGTTTCATTCTCTTCCGTGTCTATAAGTTGGATTGTAGTACATCTCTCTCGTTTAATTGCAGTTTTATGAGTTGTATCCTTGGAAAGATTTTGTTATAATGTGTTGATTTCTATAAAAATATAATCAATTAGCTATTCTGGTGGTACCGGCTGAAGATTGAGGTGCAATCTGTTTGAATCAAGTAGAATTTACTAATACCTTTGATGATTGTGAAATCTTTGCTTGATGTGTGTTAAATGTCTAACAGAGGCTGAAAATCACCCAGCTCAAGACTTGGGTTAGTCTTTATTACGAAATTTAAAGGCCATGTGCAGTACCCCTGGTCATGTGTATGCATGATAATATGTCTTTGTAGGCCGAGACATATTCCATCTTGACAGCTTCACCAGCAATAAAAAGTCCTAACATAATTTGCACTCCTCGTATGTTACCTATCTATCATTCATGATGTTCTGGCCAACTTGATCTGGTTCTAGTCTGGCAACTATTTAATTGCGTGATGGAATAAAAATTGATTAATAATCATCTTTCACATCAAGTATTGTGTGTAAAACTCATAAACATAAACAAAACCCGAAGTTAAGTGTATCTTTGTAGTAAACCAGTGAATGGCTTAGTAAACCAGTGAAGGGCTTCTTCCAAAAGAACGTGAGTAGTAATAATTGTGTAATTGTTCCATCCAATAACGTTGTAATAGAAGTGGGAATTAGGCTCGGATCCAAAAAGTCTAACCCAAAAAACCAGTCCTAGGACCGGACCAAGCCCAATGGAGGAGGGTTGATCCCTCCTCCAAGGCCCGAGCCCAAATCCCCTCCTTAGACCTAGGCAAGGATCAGTCCCAACAAGACTGGTCCCAAATGGGACCAGTCACTCATGGGTCCCAAGCCTATGAGAAATTTCAAGGCCTAGACCAGTTCCTAGGACCGATCTTGGGCCCATAAGACTGGTTCTATGGGCTTGAAAATTTTCTTTTTTTAAGGGGTTAATAAAAATTATGTAGGGGGTTTATGTAATTTTTAGAGGCTAGAAAATTTTTTCCACCCTCGAAGATTAGTAAATTGTGTAAAATATCAATTTAACCTTCAATATTTTTGTCAATTTTCAAATTACAGGGAGTTTTTAAATATTTTTCAAATGACTTTTATGAAAAAATGCAAAGGGGTTTGGGCCTAGGTTTGGGATCGGTCCCAAGCCTAGGCCTTGGAGGAGGGCCCGATCTAGGGACCAGTCCCTCATCCATGGGCCTAGTCCAGGTTTGGGACCAAGCCTCCTAGGATTGGTTTTTTGGGACCAGTCCCAAATGCCTAGGTCTACCCCTTCCCAATCTCCTTTTAACTTCTGTAAAATATCCAAAATCCTCCTATTTAATATGAAATTGATAATAAATATAAGGGTTAAAATAAAATTTTATAAAAAAATGTCTAGGCCCATAAGACTGATCCTGGGCCCTTGACCAGCCCCTAATTATTTGGGCCCGGGCCCTCAAGGTCCAAGCCCAGGCCTTTCCCACCTCTTGTAATATGCCTATCTGTATAGAGTAATGCTGCACTTACAAAGAAATTTTACAAAAATCTCCATACAAAGTAATGTGGCAAAAAATGAATAAAAAAATGAATTTAATGAGTTTGACTTTTTGTTTCACTCTTCCATCCATTTTTTGCTTTGTAAGATTTATTTGTAAATATAGTATTATTGATCTGTATATATCCCCATTTTCTATTCATTTTTTACCATCTCACTTTGTATGCAAATCTTTGTAAGATTTATTTGTAAATATAGTATTATTGATCTGTATATATTCTAAATTAAATATTTCTCTAACTACTTTGATTATGGGGCAATCTTTACTTGATTTCTGTTGGTGTCCAAACTTAAAGCCCAAGTGTTTAACAAAATATGAATAATCGATTATCGTCTTTGGATACAAGTTTCGCGGCCAAAACTCATGAACTTCTGCAAGCCACAAGTTGGATCGACTTTCTAATTTCAGAAAGCGTCCAGACTCCACAATCTAATCTTTTGCTTTGTTTGGGCAAGGCATTTTGTGGTGTGTGTTGCATTTCCTTATCATGATTTGATTGCTAGTGTCTACATTGAAATTGACTGATTTGGCATCTTCTACTTCTATCATGTGGTTGTGGTTAACAAATATGTAACCATATAAAAACGTTTTGAGTGTGTAAGCAATGAACTATGCAATTATTGTTACTTGTTATCTTGCGTATGTTAATAATAGTTAAGACGGACGATATATATGGCTATCAACATATAACCTTCAAGAACTTCTGGAAGTAACAGCAGTAGAGATAATGGCTCAAGCAGAAAGCTACAGTGGGCTCAACAGATGGAATCTTCAGGGCATGACAGCACTTGTCACTGGTGGAACCAAAGGACTCGGGTTTTTCTTCCTCCCAGTTCTCTTCTCTTTTTATTTTTCTTGTTATAGGCTAGTGGCTACTAAATAATTCTCATTAAGTTGGTTGTATTAAAATTATTTGAGTGGCATTTGACAGTTATTCTTGTCCATGATGTAGTACTCTGTGGTTTCATATACTAACTAGCGAGAAATTGAGTGGCATATTTAACATTCTGTTAATATTTCATTGTTTAATCATGTACAACCCCATCAGGCATGCTGTTGTGGAGGAATTGGCAGACATGGGTGCATCTGTGCATACATGCTCTAGAAACGAAGCTGAGCTTAATGAACGCATACGGGAATGGGAAATGAAAGGTTTTAAAGTTACTGGTACAGTATGTGATGTATCAACTCGAGCAGAAGGAAAGAAGTTAATGGATAGAGTGTCATCTTTATTCAATGGAAAACTTAACATCCTTGTATATAGCTCTTCACTTTCCAAATCCATTTTGTCTCAGATGTAATTCAGCAAATAGTTCAAAATTTCCATTATCTTATATTTTGCTATGCAACTCCAGGTTCACAATGTTGGGACAAGCAGAGGAAAGCCGATTATAGAGCAAAATGCTGAAGATTTTTCAGTGGTCATGACTACCAATTTTGAGTCTGCTTACTACTTATCTCAACTTGCATATCCTCTGTTGAAAGCTTCAGGAGCAGGAAGTATTATTTTCTTGTCCTCAGTCTGTGGTGTGGTATCAGTAAGCGGTGATGCCACTTATTCAGCAACTAAAGGTAAATTTTTTCATTATATTTACGATATTGAAAGCTTAACTGGTTTTAATATTGATGATTGATTTTGAGAGCTAGCGGTGATACTGATGTTGATCTATTTATCTGCAGGGGCTATGAACCAACTTGCCAAGAATTTGGCTTGTGAGTGGGCAAGAGACAACATAAGGGCTAATTCTGTCGCGCCTTGGCTCATCAGAACTCCTCTAACAGCACCTGTAAGAATCACTTGACACGTTTACATTCTATGTCAGCATTTTAATGGTTATGTCAGGAATTTTACTGCATTAATATTATTAAGTCCAATAACCAAACTCAGTTTTAAAATAATTAGAGCTTGTTTAATTGACATACATCTCTTTATGGTTGCAGCATCTGGATAATGAGACTTTCATGAAGGAGGTAGTCGTTCGAACTCCAATGGGACGCATTGGGGAGCCAAAGGAGGTTTCTTCCTTGATAGCATTTCTTTGTCTACCAGCAGCCTCGTACATTACTGGGCAGACTATTTGTGTTGATGGAGGATTTACAGTGAACGGGTTATTCTTCCCAAGAACCTGAATTGGTTATAACTTGCAGGAATATGACACTAAATTCATGGAAGTCACATCAACAAGAATAACAAGTGATGGAGTCCAAGTCACCAAATCACATACTATTAAGAGTGATATGATAAAATTAGGAGGGGAGTTATTTTTCCTCCTCTTGTATTCGAGTGTAATAACTCATTCGGGATACAATAAAGGGATTCAACTATTTATTTGAGTGTCAAAAGGTATGAATTTTATGGGATAACATATAAATAAATCTGTGCTCCAGTTTCTTCATCCTAACCCAGCAGTTCCGAAGCCTGAACCCAGAAATTCTGCGATTTTCAGGCCATTAACCACACCAATCTAACTTCTTTTGCTTACCCAAACACATTAATAGCAACTAAAATGCTTTAAACAATCTCATTTCAGCAAATCACCATTAAAACCAACTGTCTCTCTCTTTTTATTGGAACATGACTATGTGAAGCACATAATTGGGGGTGGAAACTTCAGGAGATACCCTGGTATCACTTGTTCCCTCCCGCTACAAATCCTGGAGCACAAATTCTGTTCACTAGCTAGCTACTCTGCTTTCACTTCAATGTGCTCCGGCAAATTATAATTTTCCCCTTCTCAGCTGTGAATATGTGATGAATACAAAATTATATATATGCAAACTATTGAATGTTATATTATTATAAGATCAAACATTATTGGTTTTTGAAATGACAACTTCCTAGTTGAAAAGTGAAAGTAAGAGACGAGCTATTTATTAGTTGAGCTAAAATTTAAACCCAAATGCATAACATCCAAGTCATTATTTAATGATTAAGGTGATCATTAATTATTTCTTGCATGCTTCAAAATTTTTTTGTATAACCTGTCCATATGTCCTTTCGGAACCCCAATATAGTTATTTCGTACTACCGTTTATGTATAAAATTCTATTAATAAGAGTGCTACTTGTAAATTTTGTGCTTTCTATTGTTGATCTTTTTAAGTGCCAAAATTAAAATGAATCCTCCCATCTCTTAACCACTATTTTTTTGTGCAACATGAAGTTCAAGGCTTTAATGTTTTCGTAGATTAATAATGTTGGAACAAATATCCGGAAACCAATGGTAGAGTTCACAGCAGAGGAATTTTCCACTCTCATGGCCACAAATTTTGAATCTGTTTTTAACTTATCACAACTAGCTGATCCCCTGCTGAAAGCATCTGGAGCAGCAAGCATTGTATTTACATCTTCTGTGTCTGGTTTTGTCTCACTCAAAAACATGTCTGTTCAGGGATCAACTGAAGGTAATTTACCCTTCTGATGTGAATTTCACCGCATCATTTATGGGTCCATGTGGTCCAGTTGAAGAGTTTTATGAAACTTTATTTTAATTTTGTTTACTTTCGGTTGGTTTTCAGGAGCTATCAATCAGCTTACACGAAATTTGGCTTGTGAGTGGGCAAAAGACAACATAAGATGTAATGCTGTGGCACCTTGGTACATCAAAACCTTTGATGATTGTGAAATCTTTGCTTGATGTGTGTTAAATGTCCAACAGAGGTTGAAAATCACCCAGCTCAAGACTTGGGTCAGTCTTTATTACGAAATTTAAAGGCCATGTGCAGTCCCACTGGTCATATGTATGCATGATAATATGTCTTTGTAGGCCGAGACATATTCCATCTTGACAGCTTCACCAGCAATAAAAAGTCCCAACATGATTTAAACTCCTCATGTATTACCTATCTATCATTCATGAATGTTGACCTAACTAGTTGTCGAATGAAAAAGTTTGGTATTTCCTTAAGAGGGTTATTCATGTTCTGGCCTACTTGATCTGGTTCTAGTCTGGCAACTATTTAATTGCGTGATGAAATAAAAATTGATTAATAATCATCTTTCACATCAAGTTTTGTTTGTAAAACTCATAAACATAAACAAAACCCGAAGTTAAGTGTATCTTTGTAGTAAACCAGTGAATGGCTTCTTCCAAAAGAACGTGAGTAATAATTGTGTAATTGTTCCATCCAATAACCATGTAATAGAAGTGGGAATTAAGCTCAGACTCAAAAAGTTCAACCCAAAAAATCGGTCCTAGGACAGGACCAAGCCCAATGGAGGAGGGCCCGAGCTCAGGGTTGGTCCCTCCTCCAAGGCCCAAGCCCAAACCCCCTCCCTAGACCTAGGCAAGGATTGGTCCCAACAGGACTGGTCCCATGAGTCCCAAGCCCATGAGAAATTTCAAGGCCTAGACCAATCCCTAGGACCGGTCTTGGGCCCATACGACTGGTTTTATGGGTTTGAAAAATTTCTTTTTTTAAGGGGTTAATAAAAATTATATAGGGGGGTCTATGTAATTTTTAGAGGCTGGAAAATTTAGTTCCACACTCCAAGATTAGTAAATTGTGTAAAACATCAATTTAACCTTCAATATTTTTGTCAATTTTCAAATTACAGGGGGTTTTTGAATATTTTTCAAATGACCTTTTTAAAAAAATGCAAAGGGGTTTCGGTCCCTAGGTTGGGCCCTCGGTCCCAAGCCTAGGCCTTGGAGGAGGGCCCAACCTAGGGACCAGTCCCTCATCCATGGGCCTAGTCCGAGTTTGGGACTAAGTCTCCTAGGATTGGTTTTTGGGACCAGTCCCAAATGCCTAGGTTTACTCCTCCCCAATTTCCTTTTAACTTATGTAAAATATCCAAAATCCTCCTATTTAATATGACATTGATAATAAATATAGGGGTTAAAATAAAATTTTATAAAAAAATATCTAGGCCCATAAGACTGGTCTTGGGCCCATGACCAGCCCCTAATTATTTTGGCCCGGGCCCTCAAGGTCCAGGCCCAGGCCTTTCCCACCTCTTGTAATATCTAGCTTTAGATACTGCATTATGTCATTGGCCCATCTGTAGAGTAATACTACACTTACAAAGAAATTTTATAAAGATCTTCGTACAAAGTGATGTGGCAAAAAATAAATAAAAGAGTGAATTTAATAAGTTTGACTTTTTGTTTCACTTTTTTATTCATTTTTTACCATCTCACTTTGTATGAAAATCTTTGTAAGTATAATATTATTACCATCTGTATATATCCCCCGGACATCTTTTCCTTCATAATGAATAAATTAAATATTTCTCTAACAACTTTGATTATGGGGCAATCTTTACTTGATTTCTGTTGGTGTCCAAACTTAAAGCCCAAGTGTTTAACAAAATATGAATAATCGATTATCGTCTTTGGATACAAGTTTCGTGGCCAAAACTCATGAACTTCTGCAAGCCACAAGTTGGATCGACTTTCTAATATCAGAAAGCGTCCAGACTCCACAATCTAATCGTCTGCTTTGTTTGGGCAAGGCATTTTGTGGTGTTAGTTGCATTTCCTTATCATGGTTTGATTGCTAGTGTCTACATTGAAATTGACTGATTTGGCATCTTCTACTTCTATCATGTGGTTGTGGTTAATAATAGTTAGACGGACGATATATATGGCTATCAACATATAACCTTCAAGAACTTCTGGAAGTAACAGCAGTAGAGATAATGGCTCAAGCAGACAGCTACAGTGGGCTCAACAGATGGAATCTTCAGGGCATGACAGCACTTGTCACTGGTGGAACCAAAGGACTCGGGTTTTTCTTCCTCTCAGTTCTCCTCTCTTTTTATTTTTCTTGTTATAGGCTAGTGGCTACTAAATAATTCTCATTAAGGTTGGCTGTATTAAAATTATTTGAGTGGCATTTGACAGTTATTCTTGTCCCTGATGTAGTACTCTGTGGTTTCATATACTAACTAGAGAGACATTGAGTAGCATATTTAACATTCTGTTAATATTTCATTGTTTAATCATGTACAACGCCCATCAGGCATGCTGTTGTGGAGGAATTAGCAGAGATGGGTGCATCTGTGCATACATGCTCTAGAAACGAAGTTGAGCTTAATGAATGCATACGGTAATGGGAAATGAAAGGTTTTAAAGTCACTGGTACAGTATGCGATGTATCATCTCGAGCAGAAGGAAAGAAGTTAATGGATAGAGTGAAGTCATCCATATGATGATGCTATGTGTGCAGTAGACTCCAGCATTACAGAAGAGTGAAGTCATCCATATGATGGGTGACGTGCAACTGCAACCAGCTTATCTAGATCTTATCCAGGATTTAAAAAAAAAAATACGACGCCGCTATTGGAGACCAATCATGAATTCTCAAATCTCTTTTTTTGCCTTTGGTTCCACTATCATTTTCAGACTTTTTAAGTTTAGCTTTGTGAAGAAAATAGTTATTTAGTATGAATTAATGCATCCACTCCAAGCACTATCAATACTTTATAATCGTTTAAGGTCCTCGCCTACTTTTTTTAACCACTTGTTGTTGCCATTTTGGACTGATGAATTTGCCGACTTCCATTCTCAACTCTCATATAACAGAACTGGTTTCTGATGAAATAACCAGCCAACACTAGTGCAAGTACTAGAAAAGAAAGACAGAATGGGTGACGCAGTGAGCTGTGGCGAGCACAACAGATGGAGTCTTAAGGGCATGACCGCTCTTGTCACCGGTGGAACCAAAGGAATCGGGTAACTTTTCACATGCCTTTAGCTTTACCTTCCCCCACAGAAAGCTCTAAATGTGGTAATTTATTAAAGAATATGTCCATTTCCAGGAAGTTATGTGATAAGTCAACAAAATGGAGAGAAATTTTTTTGAAATAATTAAGAACGAACATGTACATTCTGTTTCTTTTGTTAATATTTGACTATTAAACATTTAATATTGTGTCATGAATCACTCATCAGGCATGCTGTTGTGGAGGAACTGGCAGAGCTAGGGGCATCTGTGCATACATGCTCTAGGAATGAAGCTGAGCTCAATGAACGCATAAGTGAATGGGGAATCAAAGGTTTCAAAATCACTGGTACAGTTTGTGATGTATCATCTAGCGTAGCAGAACGAGAGAAGCTAATGAATGAAGTCTCATCTCTGTTTAATGGCAAACTTAACATTCTTGTAGGTCACCCTCCAATTTCTAAATTCAATAATTTAAAGTTGGTGGTTTTCTAATTATCCAAGTATGTTATTGATATCAGATAAACAATGTTGGGACAAATATATGCAAACCGACTGAAGAGTACAAAGCCGAGGAATTCTCATTTATCATGGCTACAAATTTTGAGTCTGCTTATCACTTTTGCCAACTTGCGCATCCTCTTTTGAAATCTTCCGGGGCTGGTAGTATTATTTTCATATCTTCGGTTTGTGAGGTGGTATCAGTTGATGTTGGATCCATATATGCAATTACCAAAGGTAATTAATTTTAATTAGTATTATAATAAATGGTTAAGTATTGAGTAATGGATTTAAGATTGATGAAGTTTGATTGGTGCAGGAGCCATGAAACTAATGTTGTCCATAATTTTTATTTATGCTAAGAACAAATTATTAAAGTTTATTTATTCTTAACGTTGGATTGTCAATTGACCCAATTGACCAATTCTATAATGTTAATCCAAAGTTGTCAAATCAACTCCAGTTGTTTTTTAACTTTTAGTACGGCCAACTGAGCTTTACGTAATGGGCTCCTTGACTCCTTCCTCTTCCTTTAATTAATTTTAATGGTGAAAATTTTATTACGTTATTCTATGTATAAATTAAATCAAATCAACTCCGTTGTTTTTTAACTTTTAGTACGGCCAACTGAGCTTTACGTAGTGGGGCCTGGTCTCCTCTTTTGACCTACACGTCCATCCTGTTTGGAGGTGTAATATTCATAAATTCACAATTTCTACCTCCAAAACTTTGATCTAAACTATATATCTCAAACGTGATTTACTCATTTAATTAATTTTATATCTTGTTTCGGCTCTTCAATCTGATCAAATTAAGTTCCATTTTCATATACTTTTTTAATAAAATATTTCAATTGGATACCATTCCCTAGAGGACGCGTGGGAGTTTTGGTGTGGGAAGACGCGTGGGAGGGAATGGTATCCAATTGAAATATTTTTAAATATATTTTATTAAAATTTTTTTATTAAAAATATATCAATCTGACTGTATACTATGATGACTCAACTACAGGTGCAATAAATATCAATCTGACTGTATAATACTTAGGATGATGACTCAACTACAAACATGCCATTGATTAGAAATGAAACTATTCTGGACCTTAATTCTCCTTTGACCTTTTCACACACACTATCTTTTACTATTGGACCTTTGTAGCAATTTGTTACAACCCTATAAAACCCCTCCAGAACTGGCTCCTTCAATCTCCTTACCACACCCTCAAATCCTTTAACCTTCTCTTCTGTTTAATTATCTTCCGCCTCATCTCTCTTTTGCACCTCTACTCTTTCATCAGAACAACATATTTCAAATATTTCTTTACGCCACCTCTCTCCAATCCTTAATTCAGCCTGAGCCTTTTTTGTTCCTGAGAAAAAAGAGCAGAATTTAGGGTTTTAAGCAGAAAAACGAGTACAGCTGAAGACACAAAACTTTTACGGTCAACTGATGGAGTGAGTTTTCTGCAAATAATATACCGTACCTTTTGAGTAAATTTACAAGAATGATGATATTTGATATTTGCGAGATTTTATACATGTGTTTGATGCAAATCTGTTCATCTTTTGTAGGCACAGCAATTATCTACAGATTAATGTAGGAACTACCAAGTAAGGTTTACTTTCACTACGAACATAATCATACTTACTATATCATAAGAAGCATATATGTTTAATCATTTTTATTTGTATGGTTTGTAGTGTGCAAAATATCCTGTCGTCAATACCAAACTATGGTGTCTTCGGTGTTCTCATTCCATTGCTTGTTGGCGTTTTACAACTGCATGTACAAGGCTCCACTAATTCACTGTTCGAAACGCATCCAATAAATATGTAGATTTTTCTGGTGGCCACAATCATCCACTACTATCGGAAGTTTAAACTTCAATATCAGAGTACTCACTGTCAAGTCTGCAATGGAATAGGCTCAATATCAGGTTCTCTTGCTTTAGCGGCATTAATCTCTGTCATCCCACACTCGAACGGATATATTGTTTTCGTTGCATGGGCTTTAAATGTAGTCTATAAAAATGCCATAGCTATCAAGGATGCGTTTGATCGGTTTTCCCAGAAGATTAGTGGTATGGGGATGGAGCAGCAAGAATTGCGTCGATTGCCAGTGTAAATGTAGCTGATTATTCACGATCAGTTAAAGTTTGAACAAATTCCATTGGTGGAGACTTGGAGCTTGTTTCTAATATGCATACACGGTGATAAAGTTATAGTTGCATCACTATTACAAATTAAATGCTAGTCCTAGTCGAGTGTGGCTGCTGTTACAGGGATCCAGGACGTTGGCTGGGTTATGCTGGGCTGGTTTGTTTTTGGAAATAAGATCGATATTCAATCCTGGGTTAATATGGTTGGTGCAATCCCTGCTTATGGGGTCTGTGGCTGCTGCAGTCCCCTCTTTCGTGGCAGATATTTGCTTGGCTAGTGTGTTTTTGGTTGTTGCAGTCCCTGCTGGTGTGGGCTGAGGTTTTCTGGTTTTTTTGTTTTTTCTTGGTCTGCAGTTGCTGTATTTTGTTTTGGTTATTTTTGTATTGGCAACCCTGCCTTAATTATTTTTGCTGTTCCGGGGGTTTTTGATACTTTAAGTGTCGGCGGGTGTGTGATACTTGGTTTCCGGGGGTGTGGTCAAAGGGTTTATGGGGTCTAGTTTCTGATCATAAAAAAGAACATTCATTGATTATATTATGACTTTATTATAAGATCTTTTTATGATATATATATATTTTATACGAAAGTTTTCTGTTATATATATATATATATATATATATAAAAGAAACGTTCGTATTTTGCATGTAATGTTAAAGATTGTGAGAAGATGAAAATTTATTTTGCATGTAACGCTGGCTTTGAATCCTCACCCGGTTCACACAAATTAAACGAGAGTTAAACTTCAATGTCAAGAATTTAGCTGGTTATCATGCAAAATACAGGTTTTTTTTTTTTTTTTTTTTTTTTTATATAGTAAACCCGATAATCGTATAAAAGAATAAAATGTACAACCTAGAGAAGCTAGACTACAAACTTTAGTCAGACCCAAGGTTACAACAACAGAAAGCCCGGAAAAACAAGGATCTACAATTCTGCACAAAAGAGTCCAAGGACGGCTCTCCGAGAGCTATACACATAGCAGGTCACCGGTCCAACACAAAGCAGTCCAACCCGGTCAAAATGGCCCAAGAAAAACAAAATCACCGTTAAGGCCCACCATAGAAAACTTAAATGAGGCTGCGAAGAAGAGACCAGTACAAGCCGAAAATGCCTTGTTGCTCCATCTTCAAAGCCCTCCAGAGAACAAACAAGGCACGCCCAGAGAACCATATGTCAGCCCTGGTGCTAATCCATTTTTCCTGCCCACCACTAAAGCCAAGTGTAAACATCCATCCTTTAGGTATGCCCATGCCCATAGAAGCAGGCCAAGTAGAGAAGAAAAGCACAGGGAGGTGAACGTCCTGGGATTCCAAGAACAAAAAACCAGTAAGGACCTCATTAAGGCTTCCCAATTAAAAACCAACCTTCTGCCCAAGAAAAACACGACTTGTGATTCCAAACAGAATTGCAGACGGTCCAAACTCACATTGACCAACAAACACTTCCTGTTTAACGAGATTCTTCAAAATCTGCACTTGGAACATGCAATCCAATGATACACACAGGAGAGGAAACATAGACCAGCAGCTTTCCAACTTGTTGCCCAGACAACCAAGAGTGGAGAGAAACCCAAAGCTACCTACATAAATGTGCAAATCTCCCTCACCATAAGAGAAAACAGTAAAGGTCTGGATACATATACACAAAACCAAACTAAACTGCTTATCAAGACCAAGCTCCCCCTCTAGCGACTGCCAAAAACCAAACAGCATGATTTCCCACCCTCCAACGAAGATAGCAGATACTACTATGAGTTAACCACCAGATCCCATCTCATCCCACCAGTTAACACAAACAGAGGCACTCTTACATAAAGCTCTTGTTATACCACCTGCACATTGTCATTGATCTTTCTCCCGGGCACAAAAGCTGATTGAGTATCATCCACGATATCTCCCAAGCATCCCATATTCCTATTAGCCAGAATTTTTGAAAAGCATTCATAAAGGACATTACAGCAAGAGATGGGTCTAAAATCACCTACTGTCATGGGCACTTCCATTTTAGGCACCAGAATAATAATAGTGGCGTTAACATCTTTTAACATTCGGCCTTGGACAAAGAAATCCGTGACAGCTCCAAAAATATCATCCCCTACAATCTCCCAGGCATGTTAAAAAAATTAACTGTTCTTATCTTTCTTAAGAATTTTAATCCAAAATGGAAGTGAAAATGATGGGATAAGAAAAGACTATAGACTCCACTGGTTTAATAAAAAGTTATACATTTTCTTTCATTTTTATTTTTTCCAACTCTTTTTTAGATAAAATTTTTTATTTCAAATTAAGATTTTTAACACAAAATCACAATCGAAAACTAACCATTAATATATTTGAAACAAAGCTAAAATAGGGTGTCTATCTGTGGCCTGTAGTTGTGAACCCAACTTGCAGCCCAGCTGTTGGAGTCAAGTGAGCTTAGGTTTTGATGACAACTTAAATATATGTGGGGCGAATGAATCTTTGTTGATATTTGTCTGAATTTATGAAAATTAACTTATAAAGTTAATACTTATAATGGTTTATAAGCATTTAAAATTGAAGCAGTTACGTGTTTGATTAAAATATTTATAAGTCGTTAACGCATTTAATAAAATATGGTTTATAAGTTAGATTTATTATTAAAATGACTAAAAATAGTATTACATTATTTAAAAGTAAGGATATAGGATAAAATTTTAAAATTATAAAGGGATAATATGGTAATATATTTAATCAAATTAGTTTATAAACACTCTACTTATAAGCCAAAAAAAAAAAAGTATCTTCCCCCTAATTTATTTCTTTTGGCTTATAAGTCCAGCTTATAAACTCAAAAAATAGTAAACAAACAGTTTAGCTTATAAAGAGTTATATTTGTCTTAAATCATCAAATTAATGGATTATTATGATGTATATATATAGTTAGACTCTTTCCTTCATTAAGCTAATTTTTTACGATGACTTTTATCCAAACTCACTTTATTATTATATCAAAGTCATATTTTTGTCGATCTTAGACCTAAATACCGAACATTAAAGAGAATATTAAAAATTATATTTGTTCAATATCGTAGAGTTGGTAGACTAAAGGAATTGCGGTCTCGTTTTCACGGTTTCACCGATGATATAATCATCAATATAGATAACGTCACTTTCCCAACGAACCAATAATTAACTAACCAACGACATAATCATCAATATGGATAACACCGATTCCCAAGAAGAGCTGACACTTAGAGAAAAGTATGGCTGAGGCTGGCAGCACATCACTTTCCAAACGAACCAATGACATAAACATGGTTGAAAAATGGCTTTTAGCAAGATTGGGGATAGAATGATAATAGAGAAAGGTTTAGAGACTTATATATAATAGATCAAAAAAGGTTAGTTTGTCCCACATTGATTAGAATTGAAAAGTGAGAAACTTTTGGAGCCTATATATAAAGAGCCAAATCATTGTTATTAGGCATCCCAAGTTGTAATTCTATTATACTTCTTTTGTTTAGGGTTTTTTCTTTAAGGACCTTTTAGTTTACAAGTTTTGTTCAATACCGAATCTCGTTAATTCCTGGTATTTTTTATTTTATATTTAATTTTGACTATTTATTTATGCTTTATTACTTGTTATTATTATATTCAATAGTTAACGTTAGAGTTTATGTTTCCGTTGCATAAATATAGATAACATCGCTTTCCAAACGATTCCTAAGAAGAGCTCACACTTAGAGAAAAATATGGCCGAGGCAGGGAGCTTGGGCATGCGCAATAGATGGACTCTTCAGGGCATGACTGCACTTGTCACTGGTGGAACTAAAGGACTCGGGTTCTTACTCTCTCTCTTTCAATTTTCTTCTCTTCACCTTACTCTTTGTATTTGTAATTTGTAGATAGGATTTACACTCTGAGATTGAAATTAAGTACTGATGTGTAGAAATAAATTATATATCAAGAGAACCTTCTCTACGAGCCAATGATCAGTGTGTTTCTTTAAGTAACCTTCATACTACTCACTAAAATACATGTATTGTAAAATCTTTAAAATCTTAAGAGAGCTCAGATTAGAGATTCATTTGTTTTTCATTTTGTATTGCTGTCAGACAAGCTATTGTGGAGGAATTTGCAGAGCTAGGTGCCAATGTGTATACATGTGCTAGAACTGAAGATGAGCTTAAGGAATGCATAAGTGGTTGGGAAACTAAAGGTTTTAAAGTCAGTGGTTCAGTTTGTGATGTGTCATCTCGTTCAGAACGAGAGTCTCTAATGAAAGAAGTCTCTTCTCTGTTTAATGGCAAACTTGACATCCTTGTATGTATGCCACCATCCATTCTGCTTTCTAAAATATGTAGAATGTACGTTGTGTGCTTTTCACTTGATTTATTCAGTTTAATAATATTAATTCTGCGAGTGTAGATAAACAATGTTGGGACAAGTATATACAAGCCGACTCAAGAGTACAATGCTGAAGATTTCTCATTCATCATGGCTACCAATTTGGAGTCTGTTTATCACTTATCCCAACTAGCACATCCTCTTCTGAAAGCTTCAGGTTCAGGAAGTATTATCTTAATGTCTTCGGTTGCTGGTGTGGTATCAGTAAACTTTGGATCCATCTATGCAGTTACAAAAGGCATGTAGTTTACTACTCAAAAACATTCAATATACTGTAATACAAGAATAAGTGGATTTATTGACACAGTATCATATTGTTAAATTACTTGCAGGAGCCATGAATCAACTTGCGAAAAATTTAGCATGTGAATGGGCAAGAGACAACATAAGGACTAATTCTGTGGCGCCTTGGTTTATTAGAACTCCCCTAACTGAACCTGTAAGAATTCCTCAAACAATTTAGAGATGGCATCATCATCAATATTGTTCGATCTGACTAGAAACTAGTTATAGAAAAATTTATTTTGATATTGATTCTCTTTGTTTGCTGACAGTATCTGAGTAATGAGGAATATTTGAAGGAAGTAAATTCTAGAGCTCCAATGGGACGCACCGGGGAGCCAAAAGAGGTGTCTTCTTTAGTTGCATTCCTCTGCCTACCTGCGGCCTCATACATAACTGGCCAAACTATTTGTGTTGATGGAGGATTTACGGTCAATGGCTTCTCCTTCCCCCCGACATAACGAATAGGAAACAGATAAAAAAGCAATTTCCCAAGAAGTTGCTTGGATGTGTTGACATCTCTATTGTACGTTGTTATATTAAATATAGCCTTGAATTGTCGGGCAAATCAATAATTGAACTACTATATGTATGAGGTAATTGGCCACCTGGTGGTTAATCTGTGAACAAAGAATTATGTATTTAATTTTCTCTAGTTCTTAAGAGATCCAAGTTAATGTATTTTAGGAACTTATTTGAACTCTTAAAGTAATAATCATCTTAATTCTGGTATCAAGGTTTGTGAGTATGAAAAAGCTATGAATTTCTACCAGCCACATGATGGTATATGAGATATCGCTTTCATGATAAGTGATAATCATATCTTCTTTTATTGAAAGAATGTAATATTAGCCACACATTTTCATATTCTGCCACTAACCAGTGGCTGACAGGTGAATTGATTATCGATAGTATATAAGTAATCATCCGAAGCCATTCCAAAACATAGCAACGCAAGCTAGAGAGAATGACTCAGGCAAATAATTGTGGTGGGTGCAACAGATGGAGTCTTCAGGGAATGACTGCACTCGTCACCGGTGGAACCAAAGGACTCGGGTTCTTATATATATTTCCTTGTCTCTTTTAATTTTCTTCTCTTTGCCTCTTATTCTATGTTGTTGAACTTTCATTAAGGTTTGTTATTATAGGTAGTTCAGTTGACATCATGTTTTTCAAAAGAACATGGGTATGACAGTTAAAAAATGCGATAACGCCCCTGCAGAAAGTTAGCCGTTAATTTATACTTCAGATCTAGAGGCTAATGCATGCAAAAATAGAGTAATCATGTTAATTAGGACACAATGAGTACACATCCATCCAACTTTACAGAATTATATGCTCAAAAGCATAATCTGTTTTGGATTAATTTAGACTCCAAGTGAAAATAATCTGATTCATGGTAATGATCATTCTGTTTCTATTGTAATCAGGCATGCTGTTGTGGAGGAATTTGCAGAGCTAGGTGCCATCGTCCATACATGCTCCAGGAATGAAGCAGAGCTTAAGGAATGCTTACGTGAATGGGAAAAGAAAGGCTTCAAAGTCAGTGGTTCAGTCTGTGATGTATCATCTCGACCTGAAAGAGAGAAGTTAATGAAGCAAGTCTCCTCTCTGTTTTACGGCAAACTCAACATCCTTGTATGTATATCACAATCCATTTTGTTTTACTCAAGTCTCAAAATTATATTAAAGTTATTGAATTAATTGTGCCTCTGTAGATAAACAATGCTGGGACAAATAGGACCAAACCCACTGAGGAGTACAAGGCTGAAGACTTTTCTTTTCTCATGACCACCAATTTGGAGTCCGCTTACCACTTGTCTCAACTTGCACATCCTCTTCTGAAAGCTTCAGGATCAGCAAGTATTATTTTCATGTCTTCGGTTTGTGGTGTAGTATCAGTAAGTGTAGGATCCATATATGCTGCTACAAAAGGTATGTCAATAATTTGATTATTCTTACTGCTAGCTTCTATAAATGGATGTAATAATTTATACTGATTATCTGCAGGAGCCATGAATCAGCTTGCCAAAAATTTGGCTTGTGAATGGGCAAAAGACAATATAAGGACCAATTCTGTGGCGCCTTGGTTTATCAGAACTCCCCTAGCTGAACCTGTAAGAGCAAGAACTTTGTATGCTTATGAACATCATCGTTAATTGTTTGAACAGGACTAGATGGTTTTGAAATTTATTCTTCTTGCAGCTTCTGAATGATGAGAAATTATTGGAGGAAGTAAAATGGCGAACTCCAATGGGACGAATCGGGGAGCCAAAGGAGGTGTCATCTTTGGTGGCGTTCCTTAGCCTACCTGCAGCCTCGTACATAAGTGGACAGACTATTTGTGTGGATGGAGGATTTACAGTCAATGGCTTCTTCTTCCCCAGATCATAACTTACAAGAAACACCCAAAAGGCCAATTCACACGAAGTTGCTTGGTGTGCTGAATTGTACATCTTCTGATGATAACAATTGTAACATCTTCTGAATTGTACATCTTCTGATGGAAGTATTTTAGATAAATATTTGTTGTATTGTTTGTCTTTTTGTTTTTATTTTTAAGTAATTTAAAATAGAAATATATTGGATTTAGGCGGCAGTGGTGTTATTTAAGTCCCACCTAATCTCTTTGTAAATCCCAAATTTAATGTTTTTAAAATTAAAAATCTTTATATGATTGAAAATTACCCTAACAAGCATTATATACATTTGAAATTTTTTGGTATACTAATTAGTCTTTTTCATATTACGGCTAAGGAAACAAAATTTTTACGGTCAATTGATGAGGTGAGTTTTCTGCAAACCCTACCTTTTGGGTATAATATACTTATAAGAGAAATACAAAGAAGGACATAGCCACATCATCGATTTTCCATCTTTTCCATTTTCTTTTTCATCTATCTAGAGAAATCAACTGATGATGACCTGCCAGGATTGATATCATTTAATCATTTTAGGATGAACAGAGGAAGATTTGTGCTATAAAATGAATTCAATTTTAATGATGAAAGAGAAAAACAAATATTGATATATAGTTTTAATTATATTTGTTATATCTGATGCTTTCAACGAAGGAGAGTGATTTTCATTTGTTTCACAAATATCAATTGATGTTTGATATTTAATTGTAGTTGGTTTTTTTTTTTTTTTTTTTAATAGTTTTCTGATGTTGTTCCATAATATTTAATTGTATTTCTTTGTTTAGTTTAGAATTTTTTTTCGTTTTTCAGTGGAATTGTCCTTTAATTATTGTCTCCATATTTTCCATCTTCATTTTCATATGTTTCAGAAAATCAAGTGATGATGACCTGCGAGGATTGGTATCATTCGACCATTTCAGGATGAACAGGCGAGGATTTGTGTCATAAAAATGAATTCAATTTTAGTGATGAAAAAGGAAAACAAAATATTGATATGTAGCTTTAATTATATTTGTTCTCTCTTTTTATTGATATTTTTTTATGTTACATACATATATCGTGAAAAGAAGTTGTTGTTGAATATACCCAATTTTATTTGTTTCACAAATATTAGATAATGTTTTATGCCGAATCATGTAGCTTTAGTAAACCATTTGTAAGTTGTGGAACCATTATTATTATCTTAAAAAAAAAATGGAATCATTGTTATTATCTTTAAAAAATCTGTCATTTAAATTACTTTTGCCAATGTAAAAAATATGCTTAACAATGTTTAATTGAAATAATATGTTTATTTAAATTACTATTGCCTATTCAAAAATTTGTCAAACCATTGTAATATGCCGATTAATTTGTATTATTCATAACCATTGTAATATTCTGAACACTGTTATTATCTTTAAAAATTCCACCATTTAAATTACTTTCGCTTGTTCAAAAAATATGCTCAGCAATGTTTAATTTTTATCATCATACACATTTCAGTTTCCCTTGTTTCCACTGAACAGTTAATAGTAAATTGGTCATAATTTGCTAAAAAAAAAAAAAAAAAAAAAACCTAAATTAATGAGAGGTTTGAATATTTGGGAACTAGACAAACAACTCTTTAATTTGACATCTTATACGCTAAATTTGGATAACTATAAACTCGTTGTCCAACCATTCATTTTATCATCACACACATTTTAGTTTCCCCTGTTTCTCGGTTTCTACTAAACAGTCAGTAGTAAAGTAGTCATAACTTACTGAATAAAAAAAAAATCTAATTGATAAGAGGTTTGAATATGTGGAAATGAGACAAAAGAGTATTTAATTTGATATGTTATACGCTAAATTTGGATAACTATAAACCTACTGTCGAACCATTCATTTTATCATCATACACATTTTGGTTTTTTTTGTTTCTCTGTTTTCACTGAACAATCAGTAGTAAATTTTTCATAACTTGTTCAACAAAATTCTAATTAATGAGCAGTTTGAATATTTGGAAACAAGACAGACAATGCTTTAATTTAATATATTATACGATGAATTTGGATAACTGTAAACTCATTGCCGAACCATTCATTTTATCATCACACATATTTCAGTTTTTCCTATTTCTCGATTTTACTGAACATTCAGTAGTAAATTAGTTATAACTTGTTTAATCAAATTTCAATTGATGAGTGGTTTAAATCATTAGAAACTAATCAGATAGTGCTTTAATTTGATATATTATATATTGAATTTAGATAACTGTAAACCCTTTCAATTATGATTGAACTACGCTTAAAAGAAATGACAAATTATTTAAAACAATATATAGAACATCATTTAAAAACATTAGACATTTTGACTAAAAAATGACACAGCACAATAAAATCATAATGTAAAACTATATATAATTAAAAAATGATTTCACCCTAACAAACTTTGTAAATTGAACGGGCAAAAAACTTGACCGTATGCACATTGTGTTTCAATTGAAATATTGAACACGTGTCAGTCAAGTGCCTCCATAATTATTAATTCATTAATGAAATATTATATGTTGGGGGCGTGTGACTTGATAAAGAAACAAAAACGTGCTCATATGATCTATGAAGTTGACAACTCCAATTACTTCATTAATGATAGCTTGACAGCTGCCAAAAAAATAAAGTAATAAAATAAAATAAATTCACAATTTCTACCTCATTCCTACTCTTCAAAACTTGGATCTAAAATATAGAGGCCGAACAACTTACACATATCCAAGGTTTATCGTAATAACTAATTAGTATCCAAAAAGTTTAAAAATAACAAACAGGTACCTTTTATCATGTACTGTTAGTAATTTCCGTTTGCTAATAGTGAAAAGACTAGAATACCTTTGACAGTTTGATATTTTAGTTTTTTTATAAATTTAAAAATGTTTAAAAAACCCCCTAGGTTTGCTAATTTAACTAAATACCCTAATATATAAAAATTTTAAAAAATGACAAAAATACCTCCACCACCCGCAGTGCCAGATTCAGGCCACCACCGCCGGAATCTAGCCGAAAAATTGTGTTACGATACAGATTTGTTGTAACGTGTCGATCTGGCCGTTGAGGCCGTAAAACACCATCTTTGGTCGTCAGCGACGGCCAAAGATGTGACCGTCATTGTCTGTCAACGATGGCCAAAGATGGCATTTTATGGCCTCGACGGCCAAATCTGGCCGTTGATATGGCCTTTTCCGACCAGATCCGTGGCAGATCTCACCGGAAAAGGCCAGATCGACGCGTTACGACATAGATGATAGATCCGACGGGTCTGTGTCATAACACAATTTTTCGGCCAGATTCTGGCGGTGGTGGTCGGAATCTGGCACTACGGGTGGTGGGGGTGTTTTTGTCATTTTATAAAATTTTTATATAATGGGATGTTTAGTTAAATTAGCAAACCTAGGGGGTTTTTTAGAAATTTTTAAATTTATAAAAAACTAAAATGTCAAACTATCAAGGCATTCTAGTCTTTTCACTATTAGCAAACGAAAATCATTAACAGCACATGACGGAAGGTCCTTGTTTATCGTTTCTAAACTTTTTAGGTGCCAATTTGTCGTTACGACAAACCTTGAGTATGTGTAAGTCGTTCGGCCAAATATATATCTCAAACGTGATTTACTCGTTTAATTAATTTTATATCTTGATTCGGCTCTTCAATCTGATCAAATTAATTTCCATTTTCATATACTTTTTTTTCTAATAAATATATACTTAATTAATTATTTATAATTAACAAAATACTATTTTTAGTCAAATATGTTATTAGCATAAATTAAATTTTTTGACAAAATTAGCTCCCTGGCTTATACGAAGGCAATGGAAGAATGTGAACGTGCATGTGCATGTTTTGATGTTAAAAGTGCAAAATTTAAAAAAACTATCGGCCACAGTGAAATGTAACTAAGATTGGAGATTGAAAGACAACTAATTTTTCCATTTATCTTACACATTCTTCACATTTATCAACTCTTTCATCATAACAAAACATTTCAAATATTTCTTTACTCCACCCACCTCTCTCGAATCCTTAATTTAGCCTGAGCCTTTTTTGTTACTAAGAAAAAAGAGCAGAATTCAGGGCTTTAAGCAAAAAAAGGAGTACAACTGAAGAAAAAACAAATTTACGATCACTTGATGGAGTGAGTTTTCTGCAAATAATATTTTATAATTTTGCAATTTTATGTGTACAGCTTAATATTATGTAATTTATGTGTACCTCATAGAGGTAAGAAAAAAAAAATAAAAAAAAGGTCTGGTTAGTGTAATAGCTGCTTTCTACTCATATAATCATAAAATATACGTAATAAAAATACATATAAAATAGTATAAATAGTTAGGCCCAAATTTTTTTTTTTATTAAACATATACATTCTTTACACAAAGTTAGTATCATGTACAAAAATTATCAAAACAAAATGGATAGTGTAACTATTTCTCCTAGTTTGTCGACGCCCATCCGACCGTGTCCTCACCTAGATCCCACAAAACATAGAAAAACAACGGGGTGAACACACATAATACTCAGTAAGTAAATCCTCTACTTATCTATCCCTGTAACTCTCTTTTTCTTCAATTCTTTCCTTACAATTACTCTCTTCTCGTTTACTCTCTCTTTTATAATTCTCTCTATTTTCTCTTTCTCATAACTCTTTTCTGCTAACTCCCTTTTGTAAGTCACAGCCCCATCTTACTACAGGCACCGCCGGGACTCGCTCCCGCTCTCTGTGACTTTTACTCATTCTCAGCCGATCGGACTCGGTTATGCATGGATTTGAAACCCTGGCCATGTGAGTGTATAATCTCTCTCTCTCTCGGGTACTCTCGGGTATAGCCCTCATCCGCATGCACTCTCACGGGCTACACCACTTTTCTCTCTCATACTCAAGCCGCTCTCTCTTTGCGGCGTATATTCGGGAATACTCTACCCATTACTCACAGATTCCCCATCGCACAACCTACTCTATACTCTCCTTATGCATTTTTCTCTTTTT